ATCCGTTCAACAGTAATACAATTGGAACGCATCGATTGATCTGTTCGCTGTCTGCTCCTTTCTATGATGTTTTGCTATACTCTCTCCTCTTCGCTTCTCTCTGCTTTTCTATTCTTTCCTTTCTATCTCTTTCTCTGGTTGTCTAAGAAAGGACAAAACGAAGTATTTTCTCTTTCTCTCCATCTCTTTCTCTGCCCCATTGTGGCAGAAGTACTTTGTTAGTTGTATTATACTTTTTGGTCTGCGTTGCATTTCCAGTCTTCACACCGATCGATGTTCCAAATTATTTTGCTTGTATGATACGATAATATCATACCGGATAAGATAACTTGAAATCCGGAAAATTTCATTCATGAAAAGATTTTTTCTTCAGCTATCAGGAAATTTTTGCTTCATCTCTTCGATTTTGTCATTTTTTATTACTCCCCAAAATTCATTTAATTCAATCTTTCTTTTATAATTTTAGTGCTACAAATTTCAGCTACGTGTAAAAAGTGTGAATTCCGGAAAAGATGCCATATTTCACGATCGATACAAACATACCAAAGGATCGTATTACGACTGATTTCCTAAAGAAGGCATCAGGTACAGTTGCAAAGGCACTTGGGAAACCGGAAAGTGTAAGTGAACTTTTGAAATTTGAGATTTTTGTAAGAGAGAGAGAGAGAGAGAGAGGGAAAGAAGAAAGAGGAAGAAAGATCAAGATAGTCCTAAATCTATGTTTAACTTTCTCATGAAAGCAGTAATTAAAATAAATTACGCTATATGATGCATAAAGAATGAGAAATTTAATAGTCAGACGTATTCAGTTTCATTTCAAATGACGTATATTGTAGGAGGAATTTAACCCTTCTCTTTTCCGTTTATCATTTGTAATAGTAAAAAAGAAAAAACAAGTCATCTTATTACTTGCAAGCTTATATCATGCTTATTATATCAATTGGCATCTCCAAGTTGTGAAAGAGAGTGAAGTGAATCATATAATAAGCATAGTATAAACTTGTATTAAGCCTAGTGAAATCAAATTCATAGCGAAAATGAAAGATCAAAATATGCTAAGAATTATATGAAATACAGCGTTCGTTGTATGATGATAACAATACAGTAAATATTTGGGGATAGGATTGTGAATTTTTTAGGTGCTGAGAATCGGAGAAAGCTGATAAATTTGATAATTATACGGTAAATAGATATATTTCATGCTTTTTTTTCGTTTTTAGTATGTGTCAGTCCATGTGAATGGTGGACAACCGATGGTGTTTGGCGGAAGTACGGATCCGTGTGCCGTGTGTGTTTTGAAATCAATCGGTTGTGTTGGTCCTAGCGTCAATAATTCGCATGCAGAAAAACTGTACAAGTTGCTAGCTGACGAGCTTAAAATTCCGAAGAATCGGTTCAGTTTAATTTTTATTTCTAATTTATATATTTTTGGAAAAGGATTGAAAACTAGTTTCTAGTCACTGCTTTTTGTTACATTTTCAGAATCATCAATACTTGTGATAACTGCTGAAAAGTATAGTTTTTCTTGTAATGATGTTCCGCATACCTTTATGCTTACTTCAGGCTCTTCGTCGGTCATTATTTCGAAGATTGCACTCACTTTACAAATTTTGCAAACGTTACCTGCTACCATGCACCCCAGTTTTTAATATCTCGCTACTCGTTATCATTTTATCTTTCATTCCACAAGAATATCTTTCCTGTTTGGTTTAATGCTGGATAGTTTCTTCCAGATTGTAGATCTAAGATCTCAGAAACTATCGATTTGCTCTAACTCTAAAAATTCTTATTGTTATTAAAATTCTTATTATCAACAAAAATGAAAGATTGTTTTCCAGATGTTACATCGAATTTGTGGATATTGATGCGTCTTCAATGGCTTTTAATGGATCTACTTTCGGATAATTCGATTTTGCAAATGGAAATTGGAATATTTTTGCAAGTTCTGAAGCTTCATTGATAATTTTCAGTTATAATTCTTTTTAAATGATAATATTTTTGTTTCCCGTACGTTTTAAACAAATAATTATTCTCTTTTAATTTGTCACCTGAAAATTTCAAACAAATAATTATCTATTTGAGAATAAACGTTGTTTAATATTCTTCCTTTTCAAACAGTTCATAAAGTCAGTTGAAACATTTGTTTATGGTTGGTTATTGGAAGAAGTATGGATGCAGTACTTAACATGTTTGATGTGAAATAGATTCGTGGTGTGTTGCGTTGACCTATTACAGCTGCTATAAATATACAACAAAAATTTGATTTTTTTTTTTTTTTTTTGGACAAGCAATATCAACATTTCTTTAGGAAAACTTTGACAGAATCAGATGTTTTTTCAGCGGCGGATTTGTTGTTGATTACTTTGTGTTCATTGAAATGCCATTTTCCTGTTAGCGCATTAGTTCATCGAAATCGTCTTTGCCCTTTACTTCAAAATTCACCTGTAATTTCACATTTCATTCGTCATTTACAAGGAAAGAAATGAGGGTAGTACACTCATCGGTAAGGAATAATAATAACATTATAATAAAATTTTATTTCCTGAAATGAAGAAAATACGGTATTGTGAAATTGAATTTTTCATTAGTTAAAAATGAATAATCTGTTATGGGAAATTTTTTTTTTGTTGTTATTATTGATAGGCATAGAGGAATAGTATGGCAAAAGTTTTATTGGTTGATGAAGGATTTGTCCTCCAAGCTTAGACGACAGTTATCAAAGAATAACTGCCTAATTTTTAGTACTTCTAATAGTACTACTAAGAAGGATCGTTTTATCAAAATTTACAGATTATGATACCGTAATAGCTCGTATCAAATCGAAACACATTATGTATGTTTTTTTCCGGAAACAAAGAGCAAGATAAACAAAAGGTCAGTTTAACTTTTTACAATCATTAGACAAACTAAGTGTATTGTTATAGGTCCTTAGGAAACAAAAAGGGCTAAGTGAACAAAGAAGGTTAAGTTAATGTAATTTGAGACAATTTAACCTTTGGCGAATACTCTTTACAGTACAGATTTCTATAATACAGAACTTTGATTATTTCATCAAATTTTTGTTACAAAATTCGATTTTCTAGTAAGACCAAATTCGTGAAATGAACAAAATGTAAAGGGAAGAAAAAAATACATGCATAAAATGAATATTGTAACCGTTAATTCAAGGTTATTTCCTTTTATAGTTTCTGGCAGGTTACCTGAACTATTGAAGATAACATATATGAATTCCGAAGGTAACTTTGTTTAAGGCCGATATGAATTACTGAAGATAACCATTGGACTATCGATCTATCCGAGGATAATATTATTTTAAAAAAATGTCTGAATTTTCAATTTTCATGGAAAAATCCAACGAACGAGAAGAGGAATTAATGAGAGATTTTATGAAACTTAAGTACGATACTCTTTATCATATTTTAGTGCATAAAAAATGAAGGAATTAAATTTGATTTCTATTTAAAAAGAAACTCTCAACTATATTTTCGTTTTGCACGGAAGAGAAAATTTTGAAAGAAATAAAATAAAAAAAAACTCATTTTCCCTCCGAAATTATCTTTTGATGTGTGCGGGAAAAATAATTTTACCTTTAATGCTTCCAATTCAGGGATTATTTTTCATTTTTTTTTAAATTTGTGAAACTATCAAACAATAAAAAGTTAAAAATGTTGAAAAGAATTGAATTTAATAGAAGTATACGGGGGGGAGCGATACTCCGATAAAAATATCTATTGCAATTCAATTTACAATTTATTAAAAGAATGCATTAATGTTAGCTAGTTTGAGGGATAGAAATTCAATTAATAAATATTTCAGATAACAGTTGCTAAAAATTCAACAAATTGATGAAGGTAATTAATTTAAAAAATCAAATATGATTAACTATTGGATTGTCAATAGCAGTTAGAAAAATAAATTGATTAAGTAAAAGGGAAAATTTTTCTTTTGCTATTCTTGAAAACCAATCAATATTAGGTGTACGGCTAATAAGTATTCAAATGATTTCTTAATGATGTGTAAAAGATCTCCCACAGTATGATAATTACAGCAATAACAATAATCAATAATTGATTATAATATTAATTAATTGATAATATTAGTGTTATTCTAAGAGTTTTAGTAGTGAGGAGGATGTTTTCCTTTCTTCAAGCGAAATTTATCATTCAATTCTGTTCAGATCGAAATTTTTTATATAATGAATTTGATTGATTACAATATTTGGTAATCCTTTCAAATTTAATTAATTAATATTATGAGGATTCGAGAATGGTATTCATATTCATATGGTGAACAAAAGTCATTTACGTCATAGTGACGTAAATTTTAATCCAATTCTTTTTTCAGGCAATTACAAATGGAAAAAAAAGGAAATTTTCGATCTGAAACAAATATATCTGAAATTTTTTGAAAAGAAAAATTCGAAAGAGATCTGAAAAATGATGAACAAAGAGAAAGAAAGATAAAGAGAAAGGGAGATAGAGACGTGAGAAAGAAAAAGTATTCGGAAAATGATCGAATCATCGGATTCATTTAATTTTTAGAGAAATGTAAGCGATGAATTAACATTTTCATTAATATAAATTCAAATTGTTTAAAAAAAGAGTTAATTTTAATCATATCTGTATTTTCTGATTAAAGTTAATGATCATTTTTTTAGATCATACATTGTAAAAAATATCAACGGATTCCTAAATGGCTCTTTTTTTCCTTTTCTTTTGACCTTTTTTTTTCTTGATCTTTTCTTATTTCTATTATTACGAATTAATAGCTTCGGAAGATAGAATACCTCCGACATAAATATCATGAAATCAATAAATTGACATTGAATTTCATCTTGTGTACCATAAGTTAAAATGATAGTAATATGGTGAAAAAGAGAAAATCAAATTAAAGTCCTTGAAATATATTATTATTGTTGTTGTAACTTTTTTAACATTCATATTCATTTCAAATTATTGTAATGTGGTACTTTTTAAAACTTTTTATAACGATTACTATAAAATAATCTTGCCATAAGCAAAATTTAAAATTTGAAATGCCGCAAAATTTTGAAATAATTATTTATAACATGAGAAATTGCACATAAATAACATTTTCAAATGTAGCAATCAATCATGGAAAGAAACAATTATCATTATTTTGAAATTATATTTTATTTTGAATTTAAAAAAAAGGAGAAAAGCAATTTGTGAAATTTAATCTCTATCAAGCTTATAAATGATACACTTTGACATAGTATAAACTTTTATTTCCATTGATGATGAAAAAATTGTATTTCAATTTAGATTAAAACAAGCAGCAACAATTCCTAAAATTAAGTCCGTTTTATCTAACTATTGGACTCATTCAATCCTTAACAAAAGGTTGCTAAAGTTGACAGAAATTAGAAAAATAGCAGTCTTAAAAAAAGCAATTCATTTGTTAGGCTTCTTAAGGACTAAGTGTTAGGCACAAAAATAATATATTCATAAATTTTAAAATATCCCTTCGGCAAATTCAAATGTCTAAATTTACCAATAATAAAAGAAAAAACATTAATGTTATCAACTACACTATTCTTTTCTAGCTATGCACATGTAACGAGGCTTTCAGCTATGCAAATTTGTTTGTAAATTTGCCAAACCTATTTTTTTGGTTGGTATTAGAAAACTTTGCCACAGAGAAAAATGCAACAAATTATGATAATAATAGAAAAAGAATTATAATTTACAATCTATGTTAACAATATTTAAATGGAAGAAGCAAATCAATTCTTCTTTGAATTTATTCATAGAAAAATTTTATTTTGCACTCATTTCTCCACATTTCCAGTTTTTCTTCTTTTTGTACTATTATGAAATACGAAGTGAAAGTATGAAAAAGAAAATTTAGATCATATCATTAAACATCAGTGACAAATTTTGACCAAACCTATCGCTTTTCAAATTACCTATTCCGTGTTAATGCATCAACACATCGAATGATTCCACCACTTCGTAGTAACAAACGAGTTTTTTTTCCCTTAAACTGAATCAATTATTCATTAATTCCATCAATCGTTTAAGTATTTGCTGATTGCAAATATCACTCTCAAATAACTAAAAATTTTAATAATCAAAAAAGTTTTTTTAGGATGATATGGGTGCAAAAATAAACGAAACTGTTTATTTCTTCTTCTTCTCAAGAAAAACAGACAAGAACAATAATAATGAGACCATGCACAAAGAAAATTGACAAATCAAAACATAATGCGATAACATGAAAGCCATCCAATCAAATTTTACAAAATTGTTAACCACATGAATGATTATTAATTGCCCGCCCAATCTTATTTCCACTGATGACTCAGTATGCAAATGCGTGGAGACATCAATAAAAAAAAGTTCTGTAATTTTTTTTGTTTCCATTTCGAATTCTACTGATCACTAATGCCCACAAAATATTCCGCATCTTTTTTGTGAAATCTTTTCGAATGCCAAAATTTTTATCTCACACACCTAAGGTTCATTCCCTATCTGGCTTTTCTAATGACAGTTTTTTTAATAACAAATAATTATCACAAACCTACATCGAAGAAAAGAATGAAGCAATTCTTCAAATGCAAGATAATTTTGAAAACCACACAAAGTTGCGCTCCTAACAGAATCAAATTTAGAAAAAAAAAAAGGAATTCGAACTAATACCGGATTTCTGGGAAGGAAAATAAAACTGGAATAAAAAGAGGATGGACATTGAAGTTAGATAAATGATTCACAACAATGAAAAACAAGGAATATACCATTTTCCTGCTTTCATGAATGTAGCTGATATATTAACCTGAAAACTGAAGGCAGAGCAACCCGGAATAAACAGACCATTACGGTTGTGATCAGTACGTGGTTGCGTATCAATGATATAGACAGCATTACACCTTGAGATTCCTCCAAACAGGAGAACAACTCATAGTAAAGTAATACAGTTATTTAAAGCATTCTGACATACATAAACGTAAATATACAAATCAAAAAATGAACGATAAGTAACAACGAAAATCAAGCGTAAACTACCATGATTTTAACATATTAAGCTTATTGTTTGAAAAAGAAACAAAATAATTTATAGCGGACCAGTACAATCCATTTCACGTGCTATATTCACCGTACTTTCTAATAAAGCATCACGAAGCCGCCATAACGCTTTTATCACTTCTTCATCCCTGACACCATTATCTTTAGCTTCCTGAAATACTCGGCAACATTGAAATTCAGCAAAAAATGACTTTCATCGAAAAGTACTGTTTGCAAGTTTATCAATACTTTAATCTATGAAAATACAAAAATTGTTAAAGCAGCCTACTTTCAGCCACTGCGTTGTTGATATCTTCTGTGGTGGCGTTGTATTCCTTTGGTTCGCCAATAAACTCCTACTATATTTACTTACTGTTCTTTGTTGACTGGTTGATAATGACTCTATATATCTAAAACTCAACATTATATTGATACATCTTACTTTTTCAACAAATTATATGTCTAGTACAACACAACGATTCATGCCGTTAAACCTCAACAATCCATTTAGCAATGGCATATACCGTTGAATGAATTAATCCTTTAGAGCTTAGGGAAAACACAAAACAATTTCATATGTTTTAAATGAATTTGAAAGGTGATCATAAAATGATAAATCGAAAAAAAAGCCAAAACATACTTAAGATAAACTTCGGAATGCATAACCCTCTTAATTTGTACGGTATTCGGCGGAGCAACAAACACAGGTTGTGCAGGCTTCGGAGCTTGAACAATAGTTCGACCTGGATCAGTTATAACAGGAGATGGTTGTTGTGAGGTAGATGGCGCCGTATAGCTCACTGTTTGCAATGGTACTGCTGTGTAGTTCTGCGGTGCTACAGCAATTGGTTGAGCGGTCGATGCCGTGACCTAATTTAATTATGTCATTATATGTTAAAACCAAAATAATGAGTTTTTAAATAAGACTTCCAACTTTTTCATTTCTTCTCTCTCAAGCTACTTTAAAAGAATGATGGATTATTCATTAGGTATAATACGACTCGTATGGAATATATGCTATTTATTCGCCAAATCTATCTTTATTGCGTGCTGATCCTTCACACTACCGACATAATTATAGAAAGATCAGAATTATGAGAGTCAAGTTTGTCCAGTAACAGTTTTATCTCCATTTATAAATA